AATGTTGAGCTGTAGTACAACATTCACTTTTAAGAGCGTTAATCATGCTTATAATTCTCATTTGAGGTTATCTCGCATGTTTCAGAACTTGTTTATCCACAATATCTTTCTTTGACTGGTCTAAATTTGTGAAACACATCAAACCCAGAGGTACCACCAAACAAAGTAACAATGTAATGAACCTGTCATATGCACTTAAAGCTTTGCCACCTCATGTGGTCAGAAGGCTCCATACCCCCTCAGTGCAGGGAAATGTCATGCATATTAACTGGCCCCGGGCAAATAGAGAATAAATGGGACAGAAATGGAGTAAATGAGATATCCGTCTCTAAGCGAGCGTTTCCTCTCATCAGTGACCAGTCGACTGAGGCCTGATGTCTTTATGACGTGGACACACACAATTAGCTGACCAGGGATTAGATACTTTTCTTCTAAAAACAATGATGCTGCCACTCTTTTCTATATAATATGCATTTCTATGAAACAAGACACTGAGAAATAGATGTGTCCTCTATGTCTAGTTCAAGGTAGAAGTAGTGGAAAAAGGTTTTTCAATAATCATACTAGCAATTCAATTCAAAGTTTTTAACAAAACAAGAAAATTAAAATTAAAATAAAAAAATATCACAGTTTATTCAAAATAGTGAATAAATACAGGCTTCGAACCTGCAATTGAATTATGCGTGTAGAATGAGGACGGGGTGGGGAGGGCAACCCACAAGTCCGGGTTCAGGGTTCCCATCATCACGCCATGAATAATGCGGCAGTGGGTGAATAGCATTGAACCGACTACAGGTGAAGTCATAACGACAGATGACAGATAAAGTAGGAAGAGGAAAGGATAGTTACCATACTTCTCTCAGCAAAGTGTGTCCATATTATTTGTGACTCACAATCTAAATTTTTAGATTTAAGGTTGTATTTGAATTCCATGAGACCTACCTTACCATATGCTAAATTAAAGAGTATTGTTTTAAGCCTAGCCTTGACTGTGTCAGCAGTGATGAAAATGGGTATGGCCATTTTGGTCCTAAATAAGGGTGTCACAGTATGAACATTGACCTGTCATCATATTCATCGCCACCATGTGCAATACAGATGGAATATGGTATTATTTGATATATGTTTTGCATCGTCTTGAAACCAGACAAATGCACTGTTAATTCAGAGACCAGTCAAAGTCATCTCCTCTTCAAAACACAAACACAAACACATTTTTATTGAAGGCAAATGTGTGCATTATCCATGGCTTCAGTTATAGCAGAGGAGGAAAGGCTCGATGCAAATGCGTGTGGGGCCATCATTCTCTTTTGCCCATTCATAAAGTTTATAGTCCACGGGGAAACTTCAGCAGAGCAGAGCAAGGAAAGATCAAAACCCAGAAAGAGATGACCATAGTGACAGGGGGATCCACTTCTATGGACAGACAATATGTAGATCTAGGACAGAGTTCAAGTCTGTTGAGCAATAATCACTTGTCACTTGCCAAGGTTAGAGAGGGCACCCCAGAGGGCGAACGGTCCAAAGCTCCAGGATGCAAACTGCTGTAACAAATCAATTTCTTGGGTGTTTTATTCTGTCTTGGACTTGTTCATGTGTGAGTTTGTGTGTTTTTGTTACAGAAAATAACAAATGAATACCAAAAAACAAATCCAAGTTTACCTTTATTTGATGGACGAAATTATCAAGAAAACAATAACATTCCATAACCTAAAAAGTGACGAGCACATGTCTTACCCATACTTCTAAATAAGAACACCATACATTATGTACCGTAATTTATTTTTGATGAATTGTTTGACAGTAAATGTTTATTCCACACAGATTTCTCTCCTCTTTTAAAACAAGGCTCACAGAGGATTTGCGCGTTTTGATCGTGCCAAATGTAGGTTAGATGTTTCGCGGAACTTGCATCACTGTTTAGTCGACTGTCGCCCCTCGCCCCTGCTCTGCATTGTGGGGATTGTCTTCCTTCGAGTGGCAACTGTCAGGGAATATTTTGGTGCTTGTGAAAAAAGAACGGCGTCTTGAATACACATGCTATAAATAATTAACACTGCGCTTTATTCCCCTTTGAATGTTATTATTCAGCATTAATATTTCATACTGGTACAGCGGGCCTTGCATGACAACCCTCTATAAGACAAAGGATAGTAATAGCATGAAGTGAGACAAGTCTTTCTGGGCTTGCCCTAAAATCATTGGCCTTCATCTTATATTTAACACGGCAACAGATGAATCTATTTTTCTCACTTTTGCATGCATGAATTCTGTTTTCCCACCCTTATGTGCAAAATATAAGAATGCAAAAGGAGGATCTGCTGTGGTGGCTTCCTGTGTAGAGATACTAGCTGTCACAGACCTAACTTGAGTCTTGTGATCAGTTATCAGTCCTTTGCCCTGGAGCCAGTGGAGGTATCTAGGGACAGCGGCATCGTGAAACCGTGGCAGGCAGCTCCACCTCTCCCAGTGAAGGGGCCTTGGAGGTGTGAAGTGTCTTCTGCGTCTATTGTACTTTAGTGATGAACGCGGGCGTCGTAATGAGCAGAACTGAGTGAATGATTCAACTTTCTTTAGAACCCTTCACAGAAGAGCACTTTCAACTGCATTCAAAAGAGGACCTTAATAGCTGGCGTTTATCCTCTTGTCTAGACATAGTTTCTTTCAGTCTTTAAGCACTGTATTTTTGTGTGATATACCTATATTTGTCCCACTGTTCTTTTCGCTGACAAATATTGACAAAATTGTTTAATGCAGTGGCTTTTTATTGAAACTGCTCCTATACTACCTTAAATCACATTATACACTCAGGTTAATAATAAGTGACTTGGCCCTTCACTTAATACAAATAAATAACAGTGATTATCTACAGGTATTAATAATGTGGTTCTCAAAGTGGGGGGACATGGGTAGATTTCAAGGTAACATTCTAAAAGCTTTTCACAATATATTTGACGGAACACATAAAAATTTGGTGAGATTAGTTCCAATAACTCCTTGAATTAGATGAAATACACTAAAGGATTTGACCATAGACTATACTGTATACAGGTGATGGACAGTGCATACTGCCAGCATTATGAAGCTTAGTAGGAAAGTGTACTGCTCATTGTCAAAGTTTTGCTCCTATTGTCTTTAACCCCCATTCACTTACATTGAAAAGTAAACCTTGTTTTGGTCATATACTCACCACTAAGTCAAGCAGGGAACTCGAGTGGGATTATAGAAAACATTTAAAATAGGAACGTGCAACAGCTTCCGATAAGTTTTCTTGTGAACCAGAAGCTTTGTAAGAACAGCCTACAGACTCTTTGCAAGGACCTGGCCTTAACATTTCCTCTCTTCACCCCTCTTTTTCTTTCTTGCGTGACTCTCTTGTCTCATGATATACCACAGAGAGACACAATTATCCACTTCATTTGAGTCGTGCCACTAATAGTCCGGCCAGGCCTCTGGGGGGAGCCGGGGTGTGAGGGGTGATGGCGATAGGTAGCAGTAATTGTAAACGGTGTAATGAGTGTGGAATGGCCGAACTATTACAGGTGACCCCCCCACACACAGTGACAACAAGTGAGCCCCCACCTCTCCTTCAGGGTTCACAGAAGACAGGGGAAATATTAGCCTCACACACCATTACTCCCAAGTGGTTTGGCTGTCAGGGCTCGCCTCATAACACAAGTGCCCCCTTCACCGCCTGCGCCGCGCCGTCTGTGCCTCCAATCTGACATCCTCAAGGAGTTTTATTCCTCTGTCACATTTCACACTTAAGCCTTTCAAATATTCATGTTCAAAAGAGAAAACATTAGAACATAAACACTGTCAAAACTATATGTGGGCTTGACTTTTACCATTTATCATTGAACATATAAACTGTGTAAAATATAGGCCTGTTATAAATACCAATATCATAACTGCATTCTATTGAAAAAACGACAAAACAATGTCTCTTTAGTTTACATCATGATTTTCTGCTGCCTTCTTATGAAACTTTTGTCTATGGAGGAAAGAAAATGTAAAATTACGAGGTAGGCTTTTCATTTATTTTACTGTGGAGTTTATACTTTCATGCAGGCAACAGCCAGACCTCATTTATCAAACCTTGTGTGGAGTTTTACCCAGAAGTATTTGGACAAAACCCCGAAACGTACTACTATTTGTTTTTTGGGCTAATCACTTTCCAACTTTTGCTAGCTTCTAAGTGAGCGGCAATATTGTTTCTTTATGACAAACTAAATTGGAAAGTCTTGTATGCAATAATCTTTTACTATTTACACTTTATATATAAGACCAGGTTGCATCAGGACACTGCCCTTTTCCAGAACCAGTTTGTTTTCTTGCGTAGAAACAGGCCATAGAGAAACATTCCAATAACTGCTCGGCTGCATACAGCTAATTAGCTCAGCTGACATGCTGACTTACTAGCATACAACTCAACTAACACTCCACTTTGTCACAATTAGCTTCTCTATATTAAATTACACAGCTCTTGTCTCCTAGCTGGCCGTGTACAAGAGACTGCGAAAAGTAGGCTAAATGCTTGTATCAGGAATGTGACTAAATTGCAAACAAATTTTATAATATTACTTATTAACTTTGCAAATGGTAGGCTATTTGGTCGCCATGAGTCATAAGTTTAATGTAATATTTTATTTTATAATGCATCAGTGGCATGTCAAAGATATTTTATGACTAACAAAGGTATAATTGCATGAAAACAGACACATTTATTGATAAATATTAAGAAACTAGTGTTGTGGGAAATAACAGATTCCAAATGCCTGAAGCACATTAGATTTCTTTCTTTGGATTTTGTATTTGTGTAAAGATTTATATATATCTATTTGTGAGTATTACACTGTTCACTCCTTGTAACAGTGTATTTTTCTACATTCACCTTATGCTTTTCATGTCAAAGATCATTAATGACTTAAAGCACTTCCAAATGACTGTGGGCAGCTGCTGGAGAGGTGCGCTGGGCTCAGAGGAGGAGGCAGAGACGGATGTGCAGCAGCTCCTGTCTGCACCGCAGAGGCACCTGTGTGGAGGCAGGTGAGTGAGCGCTATGACGTTCCCCAATTATCACAAGTGACATGGTGTCAGCGAATTAGCTCCTGCTCAGAAGCTCCCGGAGAGCAGCGAGGCAGCAGGAGGCCACAGCACACCTCCGGCTACATTCATCCTACACCCCATCCGCCTCACATTATCTCTTTTCTTTTCCCTATAATGTAATAGCTTTATTAAGTGCAGACTTAGGTTGATTTTTGGAAACTTCCCTATTGACCAGTTTGAAAAGCTGGGAGTAATCAATTGAAAGACAGTTTTAAATCCATGTTGACATAAAAGTATTTCCCTTTTAATCTTTTATAAACTCTCTTGTTGGATAATCTTTGTTATAAAATTCAACAATACACAATGAAGGTCTTCTTACCAAAGACCCTCGGGTTGTCTTGCAGGTGACACCTTTCAGAATGGAGTTTGCATGTTATCCCGGTGTCTGCATTGATTTCCTCTGGTTTCCCTTATAAATTAAGTCCCAGTTTATACGGAGACTATGCAGCAGTAAACCGCTATAGTTGGATGTCGGTTGCTACCCCCGTTCATAGGGAGACTGTGTTCCGGGGGGGGGGTGAAAACATAAGTGTTCAGATCCAGCCTGCAGAGTGGGATAGCCCAGATACGCTGCTCAGCGGGAGCTCTCTTTCACACCCGCGTGAGGGAAAAAGATGTGAATTCTTTGCCTGATCTGATCCCCACCTCTCTGCTGCTCCCCGCACGTAAATTTGGACATGCGCAGTCGCAGAGAACAAACGTAAACAACAATGGCGGCGGATACACTAACTACACAGAGGATTCTACTCCTTCGTTCGTCCAAACAAGACCACGCAAAGCTCTAGTTTCAGTTTCAATTTTTGCAGCTGCTGTTAAAATGCAGAATGATGTGCATCTTTCACGTCCTGCAGAGGAAGTGAGTATACTGCTGGGAGGGACTGGGGCTCGCGTGTGTCGTGTTGTAAAGTTCCTCTGCCCACTACTGGCCGGGCGCTAGAACTACATCGTTTTTGATCCTGTATGAACGCTGTGAAATTTGTATTAGGAGCCTGGTCGTTTCTGTTAATAGCTTTCCAACGTCTGCGCAGCGCCTCCGTATAAACGGGGCCAAAGACATGTACAAAGAAGTGTGAAAATTAATGTTGACCTAATACTTCATTGTATTCACAAATGTTGTGTACAATGTCGCACAAATAAATACAATTGTAAAATGCAGCATGATGATTCCATTTACCCAGAATACATGTATTATAGATTCATTCTAATTCTGCTTTATCCCATATTTACTAAGGCTAGACTGCTATATAAGTTTGTCTTACTTCATCCATGAGTGTTTTATCTTATTATGTTAGTAAAACTTTAGGAAGTAACAGTTTGAATTTATAATACGGAACTGTAGTCCTGAAAATCTGACTGGCTTCTTTTCTGACAATGTTTAAATTCGGGTTAAAAACAGTTCTGTTTAGCTGTGCTGCAATTGAAGGATTGTATCTTCACTCGTTTTAATGTATCATGCATATTTTTTGATTTGGATGTTTCTTGCTCACTTTGAGTTGCTTCGTGTATTATTTGTATGGCAAGTTTATTTGTGCCATACAAATAAACTTGCCTTGCCTAGTAAGAACAGCCACTACTGTATTCAGGTCTATTAAAACTTGAATATTTGTTTATGAATTTTCTTGTTACTTCAATACTTTACCGATTTCAAAATCCAGAATCATAGTCTTTGCAGATCCATGGACAGTTGCTTCTCTGAACCATGCTTCTGCCCTCAGACACTATCACGCCCCTTTCCCGGTGAAGTGAGTGTGATGAGCTGCTTATCATGGATTCCTGCTGTTTCGGAGTACACGGGAGCGATATGTGCTCATTTAAAAATTCCTCTCTTAATTAACCGGTGGTTCCCTCTCACCCGTTAATTCAGCCCAGCCCTGCACGCGCTTGTAAGGACAGTCACGTCTGCGTTTTGAAGTCTTAGAAAGTGCCTTTTCATTTGGAAATAAGCTCGATGAGTAGTTTAGCTGATACATGAGGCGGACTTTGCCTCAACATAACACTTAGTCTGTAATTAGCACAGAGGTTTTTTCGTTGTAAGGCATGATTGGACTGATGAAGAAATAGACAAGCTATATTTATTAGTTTGGAGGGATGGATTTTTTTGTATAAACCTTGCCTTAAAAGGATGTGTGATGTATTGAGTTGAGACAAATGAGAGCCAATAAGACACATAAGATATCTAATATATTGGGGCAATTTGTTTATTAAGTATGGTATGTGTGGATCAGGTGGATATCAATACATACTAACCCTAACTTGAATAATGTTAAAGGCTAAAAATATTAGAAGGAAATTATGATTATTTTTCAGCTTTGATCTATTACATGACATTAAATGCACAAGATTTGAATGTGATGTTAACACCGGTGAGATTCTGTTATGAGATCGTAACACATACATAAACCAATCAGTGGTGGTTGTATGTAACCATATATTGCTAGTTTCTTACTAAGCTTTACCATCAGAGAGAATAAACAAACTCATCCACAAGTACCATTAAAGACTCCAAGACCCATAGATGTTGGTAAAGACACACTATTGAGATCTAGGGATGGAGACTTCTGATCAGGGTCCTGTTGTCATTACAATTAAAAAAAACAACCACACTTTTTTTGTTTACAACATTTCTGCCAGGGGAATTTCCAAGCACGGCTATAGCATGATTTCTACTAGGACCAGGATAAATGTTTAGCTCTCAGATGAGTCCAAGTTAAAAAAGAATATTGTATCAAAGCCCATTGGACCACAGTGCCCGTGTGTGTGTGCTCTCTGCAGGGTCTGTGAAGGAGCATATTGGAGGAGATCTCTCTCTGGGGGCCTGGGTCAGAAGGTATTACACCTTACTCCTCATTACCCTCCGACAACTCCCAGAGGCCTTTACTCTCATGCTACCAGTAAGTAAAGGGGTAAGTGATAACATGGTTGTCTTTAGTTCATAAGATATTACAAAAATAGTTTTGTTGTTAATGGTAAATATTAGAGAAAAATGGCTCTGCAGTATCATAATGCTTTATATTATTAAATGTCCACCAACAAAAAATGGTGTAGGAGTAATTTCTTCTACAGTATTTGCGCGTTAATTAAATATGCAGTCATACAATTGATTATTTTGACCCAAATTAAAGCTACACCGACCATGGCCTGGTATTCACTGAATAAAGAATCAACAAATTGATTTTAATGCGGCATGCACTGAAGTATTATGAGTTCCTGTTTCTCTGCTAAAACCAAAAATATAAAAAACAATACCAATAATTGTATATTTATCTTAAGCTTCTATTGAAAAAAATCTAAGTTAGTTTTCATGAGCATTATTTCATGAGTAATAATGGGTCTATAATGATTGACTGATTATTTATTTTTATATTTTATTGTTCAATTCAACTCATCCTGTCCGGAGCAGTCATGATTACATTACAAACACTAAGGGTCTCTATTAGAATGCAAATTTGATAATTGTATATTTTTTTGCGACTTTAAACATAAGTCAAGTAAGTTCCACATATATACATCGTTATAGTACCTAGAGACTAGACATTTTATACCCAAATACCAGAAGTCATCAATAACATTATTTGTGATACTTGCAGTGTAATTTCTAGTTTTTTAAGCATTTATTTTTGCTTGTAATTGACTGGATTGTGTTGGTATCACAGTTGTACAAGTTTGTTTTAAGCATACCTTTAGAATTTGTATATGTATTTTACATAAAATAAACTTACTGTAGATTATAACCACAATCATTATCCCTCTTCATTATTGTCCTTTAAATGAATCAGACTTCAGATTTGTGCATGTGCATTTGAATGTTCAGACAAATTCGGTCTTAATTTTTGTTTTAATATATATATATAATTGTCTTTATTTGCATTATTTCAAAGTCTGACAACTCATGGGAAGTGGCAATGACAATTCAAAACAAAAAGATGCCCCAACTACAGCAAAAAAAAAAAAAACTAAGTCATACAGGTATCAAACAACAAAAAAGGCAAGACAAAAGTAGATGGACAAACAAGAAAATCCGACAGACCATATATAGACAGACAAGACACAGACAGACAAGACACAGACAGACAAGACACAGACAGACAAGACACAGACAGACAAGACATAGATAGACAGACAAGACATAGATAGACAAGACATAGATAGACAAGACACAGACAGAGAAGACACAGACAGAGAAGACACAGACAGAGAAGACACAGACAGACAAGACACAGACAGAGAAGACACAGACAGAGAAGACACAGACAGACAAGACACAGACAGACAAGACACAGACAGAGAAGACACAGACAGAGAAGACACAGACAGAGAAGACACAGACAGAGAAGACACAGACAGAGAAGACACAGACAGAGAAGACACAGACAGAGAAGACACAGACAGACAAGACACAGACAGAGAAGACACAGACAGAGAAGACATAGACAGACAAGGCACATACAAATTCCGTTGTCACACACCCCTTACACCATTTACCTGATAGTCAGGTTCAAAATGTCACACAGCCCTTTCTGGACCAATAAGAGTTATTGAAATTCTGTTGGTTGCTACATTAATATGAATTATGAAGAGCCAAGGCTTACAATTATGCAGTTCAATCAATCTCAAAATCACAAAGATCAATTCTATTATTAAGCCATTTCAGATCAATATTGTGCCTTGCAATGAAAATCATGTAAAATATTGATTTGTTTATGGGATTGTTTCACACAAAAACACATGCAAAAAAGAAGAATCATTTTGTCTTACTTAAAAATCTGAGTTTTCGCTATAGTCAATGTCTTGACAATTACTTTCTCAACAAAATTCCTTCTCTTCCAGTTGCACATCCTAGTCTCACCAGTAGGGGGTGGTATTGGCACTCGTTTCCCAGCAGTGGCCTTCGGGATAGACAGACCAAATGCCAGCGCAGTCTTAGGAGACCCGGTGGAGTTCAGAGGTGTAGGGGCGTGTGGTGGGGTGATGGGGGCATGCTGAGGGGGGGTCTGGGGCAGCTCTGAACAACCAGCCCCCGGTATCAAACACATGCCTTTTTAGTCTTGGAGCGCAGGCAGCAGCAGTGATTGTTATTCAAACTTCTGTGTGGAGGTCGTTAACCAGTCGATGACAAGGATTTCTCCATCCCTCACTGAAGCCGGCATCTATCTCAATTCCCCCAACATATGTGTGCAAGCGGGAAAGAAATCATGCTTCATCATCGTAGGCTCAAAACACTGTCACTCACACTTTAAAGCTGAAATTTCACTTTACGATGAAGATGAAAATTGCTAAACCACGTACTAGTGTATTTTTGTAAATAATTTCTGGGAAAACAGTGTATTATTGGTGTTCTTATCAAAGTGGTTATTTGATATATTTGAGTACATTGCACTGAAAAATGATATGATAAAACAGAAGTATAATTTGTTATTGGATGGACTTTTTCCCTCAACAATACAGTAATTATATTCGCACATACTTTAATCAAAATATCACAGCATGCTTCTCCTTTACACTTCCAACCCCATATGCTCACAACCAAAGTGCTATTCTAAGCCTTTGTTGTTGATTGAACTGCATTCTACATACCACGCGTGCATAGTATTAGAAGTTATGATTGAGTCATTTTGAGACATAAATAAGCACTGTATATTCAAATAGAAGGATTGCTTTAGGAATGTTTCACTCACATAAAAAAGAAAGAAAAACCTCACACAAGTATTTTCAAATAGCAAACTTTAAAGCTGTAACTGAAAAAATTCTTCAAGTAAAATGTATTAGCACAGATTTTAAGTTTTCTCTAAATGCTTTGTAGTTTTAGCAAAATATGTCAATGTTGATAATGTCCCATTGACATCTGGACATGAAAGGAGATATATACTGATGTATTTCTTTTTACAAGTTTTAGATTGGTTAATGTTCCACTACTTTTTCCTCAATGATTTCTTCCCCAGACGAAATGTGTTATGCTTTTAAATTTTCCTTTAGACAAGTCCAATCCTCCCTTCACCATCGCTTCTTTTACAGCTCTATCTGGTCAAGTGAAAGCACCGACCCCCTCCTGCTGCCATTGATCCACTCTCACAGAAACATGCCCTTAGTAAAATACCACTGCTTCTCTTTTTATTATTTCATTTTTTCATATATTCCAGTGGATTTAAAGTCGGTCAGGCACATTATCGGACTGGGCCCAGCCGAGCAGAAACATTCCATAACCCCAACCTTGGCGCTGACCCCTCCCTCGCCTTTAACAACTGCCGACATAGTTTGGCTCTGTTATGTGATCATGCTTGGATGAAATCTGTCAAACAGCTCCCTGAGTTATTAGGCTGTCTGCGCCTGACCTTTCCGCAATCAAAGATATATGACTTAAGGGCTCGGATTTGCCATGGCAACGGCTCCAATTTGCCGCCGTGAGAAAAGGTCTAATTGTTGCAGAAATTTAATGATCTAGCCCCGACATCAGGGGCTGTGAGATTTTATGAACTGTTTACGCTATAATTTTCTTTTGTTAATGCATTCCGCCTTAACCCCTTCTTCCCCACTGGCTGCCTGCAGGGAGATGAGGCGCGCGCATGTGTGGATGTGCGTGTGTGTGTGCATGTGTGTGATTGTGTGGATGTGCGGGGTGGGAGAGGGGAGAGGAGAGAGAGGGGATATGAGGGAAGTGATTTCTGTCCTCAACAGTTCAGAGTTGGCTCATATTTGTGTTTGAGAAATACAAGGGTAAATGCTAGAACTTTAAACCTATTAATAAATCACTTCATTTTTTTTCATGTGGATGGTTAAGAGTAATTTATCATTGATTTGTACATCTGCTGGTTTTTACTATAAACCGAATAATCATATTTGACCAAATAAGAGTAAACTTAATTTGATAATAATAAACAATGGATGAGGTATTCTAATAAAGGCACAATTAAAGGAATTTTTGTTTTGTTTTGGCCAGTCATATTCTGCATAAAAATACATTTAAGTAATTTGGATCTGGAGATTTGCTGCATCAGCAATCAGGATTGCTTTGCTCAACTGAAAGCTGTAAAAAGGAGCTGATGAAGCATTCAAATGTTCTTTCTCACTCGATTGGCTAATACTTGCATGAAATTTAGAAAAATAAAAAATATACATCTGAAACATCTCATTTTAGGTTAATCAAGAAACCAATACTAAACTATATCTATTGAATTCATGTCATTTTTTTTATTACAGAGAATTGCAGTTTGTAGTCTTGTTTGCGAATCCAACTTAGATTTTATCGTTTTGAGGCGAGCTCGCAAACCGCTGTGCCACTTTGTCCTGTACCAGTTTGAACAAGTCATGCAAACACATAAACTGTTATTTTATAGCTACAGTTTGATTAAGTAACCCGTGAAATGACATTTAAAAAGTGGCAAGTAAATAATCACAAGAGCTATCATTATTTCAGTCAGCCAAATAACGTATTACAGCATTTCGCTTATCTAATCACTCTGCATTTAAGTGTCCAGCTCCCAAAACACCCTTTTTTCCTTTCCTTGCACTCATCCCTCCACCTGTTTGTTACTTTATCTCCCGCCTTCGGTTTCTCCCTCAAAAATGGTCAGTTATGCGCTTAAGCTCGTGCTGCCGCCCTGCGCATTATCTGCTCTCAGCGATGTAGACATCAGTAATATATTCTACAAGGTCAAAGACAAGTGAGATTAAAACGTCTAATCAGTTAATTTGTTTTATTGAGAAGGACTGTCGTGTGATTGGGCACACGGAGAGAGATAGAGGGGGAGAGAAGGGAGCGGGAGAGGGGGGGGCTTTAGCTCAACGGTATTTGGACTCGCCATTGTGGGAGGGGGCAACAATATGGCCATACTCGGTTATGGCATGCTGATGAAGCCCCTGACAAGCCTTTGTTTTCTCCCCATCTCCTCCCCTCCCTGCCATTCACTTTCAATCTACGGCACATTCATACAAGGCTGATTTTATTACTCTGTGAAATAGACTTATACTTTATATCTCATTAAATATTCAAAATAAATTCGGCATATTTGAGCTGTTCATACATATTCAGTTTGGGTAACTAGGATCAGAACATTTTGATTGAGTCTGTATATAGCACAGACATTTAGAGTTTCGCTGGGTTTTTGTGTGCACATAATTCCATTCAGATGACTGGAGTTGAATCACAATTGATCTCATTGTTTTCTCTTCCCTTCGCTTACAATTAAATGCGGTGGAATATATTTGAAGCGGATACAGTGCGGACCAGCGATTTCTAAAGCAGTTCTCAGACAAAAAAATAGAAGCAGCAAATATAGACTCGCTCAGCGCGTGCCACTTTTAGCCTGCACTTACAAGTATGTTTAATGACCTTACCGCCTCCTAATGACCTATATCAGCATGTAGGTTACAAGTGTGAGGGAGCACTTTCTAATTAATTTGGTGGAATAAGATCTTCTAATTGCTAATGTTTCTGTTACACACTGAGCTGCTTTTAACAAATGAAGATTCAACAAGAGCACCATACTGTTTTAAGTGAGAGTTCTTTCAAAATTCACACTTTAATAAAGACTTAGTAGATAAAAAGGCACAGCTGGACGTTATTAACTGCACTTTGATTTCGTGCAAACACAACGTTAATGATTTAGATACTGATTCTTCCTACTTGAAAGGAATAAATCAAAGGAGCTAAAAAGAAATAATCTATAGTCAAAAAGAAGCCAAAAGACTGTTTGCTCTAAAGCAGGATGTCTTTATAAGCAAGAATGGAGGAAATAAAAGCACCTGAAACTCTCCAGTACAAATGTGGTTACAAAGCCCTATAGTAAATATAACATTTAATAAATTTTAGAGTGATCATTATTTCTTAAAGTAAAATATCTAACTTTATTTACTACATGGTTATTTCTCTGGACGTGATTTTTACTTCATCCATAATAATCACAGGCTATAGCATATCTATTCATATTTGTAGAGTGCACTCTCTTATTATTTACCTTGAACAATTGTCTTGTAATCTAGTTGTATGTAAAGTATATTATGCACAGATCTAGGGCTTCGTTTGAAAAACTTGAAATAATGAGTACGAAAGCACAAACTTCCAGAAACTTGCTTCTTTGACCAAATCAGGTGAAGTTGTCTTTTCATAAATATGGAAAGTTTCATAAGTAACACTTCTGTATGTACACACTTACAGAAGCCCCTGACATGTATTTTCAGTCTGCATCGTACGTCTTCATAAAGAAAGCAAAGTTTACCCTCTCACAACACAATGTAAAAGCAATTGTCCATATTATTTTGATGGCATATAAAATAGCAGTGGACTCATAAATGTTTGATCATAAATTAAATTCAGTTAGATTGTGTATTTGGTCGGCTTATAACCAAACAAACAAAACAAATGGTATAGTTACCGATACATACCACACAAAAATACAAAACTACTGCCTTTATCTTTGTAGTCTATTGCCAATTTCACTATAATTCTACAGTTTTATATATTTTTGAAGCCTAGATTTGTTAAAAGCAAGTGTAATTGTCACATCAACATTTTGACTAATATTGCATTAACAAACAAATCTGGTATCCCTTTTAGATAGCATTATTTACCCGTTTTCTGTGCTAATAAATGTGTATTTAACACATGTATGCATTTTATTACAAACATATTTATAAGCTACGTTTAAAATAAATTAAACAGACTGCATTGCAGATTGTACATTTATTATGAAGTAATTTTTTTATTCTTAACAGGACAACGCTGGCAAAATGTGCGTGAGCGACTGACCTCCATCAGGAACATCCATGGGCCCGTTTGTTTTCTGGCAAAGAGCAGCTATGGTGGACGACCCCTTGATTTATTAGAACCTGGAGCCAAGTGACCGTGATGAAGAGCATTTCCATTTTAAAAGACGTTACGGCCTCATCCGGACAGAGGAGAAATGCCACCAGAGAGAAAGAGGTAAGAGGTATAAAGCAGTTATGTAGGTAGATGACATATTTTAACATTTTATTTTATTGTACTTTAT